TGTATGCGGATCCTGCTACCTCCAACTTCACGGCGTATTCTCCGATCTTCTCGGCAACGCGGAACGGACCATGCCATAAGTACGCCAACTTTTTCGCATATCCTTCACGTACTCGATCTAGGTACAGCCAGACCTTTGATCCAGACTCTACAGGATGAGGTTCCGCTAGATTGTTATGCATATCGGCCCGATCCGCGATCGCTTCATGTAGACGTTGGTTCATTTGTTCTCTGACCTGTTGATAATATTTTTGCATTCGATACCGCCATCTTCTCGGATCTCGATCGTGCCTGCGAGTGCTCCCCACCGGGATCACTGCTTCCAAGGTGGATCTAGGATCCCAGCCATGTATCATGTAGAAAGGCGTCTCACCTCGGATCCGATCTCTCGCCGTATTGATCGCAAAGGTGAGTCGTTCAGCATACTCATCCCAATCTCGTTGATCTAGATCTTCCACATACATCTTAAGAGCCCTGGTGGTTGTCTGGACCATACGTTCTGCAGATCTATTAGCTTGAGGCCTAGACACATTCTTCATAGGTCTCGGCGATTGTTTGAGCGGATCTAGAGGCGCTGGCTTTGGCGATCACATATCCTGAGAGTAGATCCACGAAGATCAGCAATTCAGTGTTGCCGTTGAAGGATCTAGGCAATGAAGGTATATGATCCATGGCAATGACCTGAAATGGGTACGTCGCCTGAAGGTTACCAGGCGACTCGCCCTGGATCCGAGGTCTTCCTTTGCCTGTCTCACAATCGACACATTCCCCCACGTATCGCTGTACACTCTTATACAGACCTCTCCAGTGGAAATGATCACGGATCCGATCATAGGTGCCACCAACTCCTTGATGACCACCTTGCAGACTCGTATGATAGTGGTGCAAAATGTCCTGTTGAAGAGTCTCAGGTATCACTAGTCGCATCAGCTTATCTCGATCTGCGGCAGTTTTCTTAGTTGTCGGGCGATAGAAGAGTAGATCCAACTGATCCACTTCATAATTCATAGCAATAGATCCAAACATCTTAGTCTCTTTCTGGGTCAGATCTCGGATTTCCCCGACCAAATATTTCTTCAAGCCCATGATCCACGACTCCTCGTCCTGCGCTTGACGGATCCGCTCGATCCGTAGCTCTCTCACGACCTCTTCTCGTAGGGAGTTCGGATCAGATCCCACAAGCACTGCACACGTACTCCCGATCTAGCCATAGATCGGGTCATCACAGCTGATACCTGTGCGATATCTCTTCTTCGACTATCACTATCAGGATCTCATCCAACCGATTTAACGTTATGAGATCCTGGATCTCCGCGTCAGACTCTATCTCGATCCTACATTACCGTTGCAGAGCAGCACTCGTTAGACTGTCAGCACTCCCGTTCCAATCTCGTTTGACGTGCAATAGTCCGTGATCTGGCCACGTACGCAGTCGATCCAAGGCTCGCTGACGTAACAGTGTCAGACCTGGTGCCTTGCAATCGATCTCTCCTCGTACTTGTCGGATCACCAGGTTCGAGTCTCCGCAGGTCACCAGACGCTGTGGATCCAGATCTTCCCCAGTTCTTCCAACAGATCCAGACATAGTAGCAGACCATGGTATTCCGCCTCATTCACCGTCGAGCCTTCGGCATATCCTGATCTAGCTTTCAACACTCTCCATTCGGGATGTAACGGGGTAAGAGATACCGTCACTAGCGTACACTGTAGATAAGAGGAAGCTTGCAATAATAACTCAAGTCTTGTCTTTAGGGTAAAATCAACTCTATTTATGCATGGGACGGGGGCGGAGACCCCCTTACCCTTGTGAACTACTCAAATCTAAGTCTGCACCTGATTGGATGAAATGGGTCTGGCTCCCCTCTTTCAACCAATCAGAACATGACAGCAGGTCACACACTAGCCGTGTGACTGCACCTACTTTTGTGTATGTACCTATGTAACTTCTACCTACTTATGTAAATGGGCCCTTTACACGGGAAGCTTCCACAAGATCGCGCTGTAGGCGCCTCCACCTCTCTTGACACGGGCTGATCCGTCGAAACTGACGACATACAGCTCCTCATCTCGTCTGATAGTGGGGATCGGAGCTTGGATCGTACGTCTTGGCTCCTTTTGGCCGATTGAGATCAACGCCGTATTCACTTCTGATCTAGGGGTAATACTGGCAGCCAGTGTTCCCAAGATCTCATCCTCTCCTTTGACACACTTGGTGATCTCAAGTGTCCAACGCGACAATAGAGCGGCCCATTGTCCTAAACGTCCTTGTAAGGCCATGGATCTGAAGAGCCACGCCAATGTTGAGTGTCGGGTTAACACGCGGATCGGACGTCCGACCA